AAAGATAAAATAAATATCTTCAACTTTCTAGTTTTGACCTTATCCTAAATTTCTCTTTTTCTAAGTCAAATATTGCTGAAAGGGACAACTAGTATTGAAAGATTTAAAGAATCAACAAATCTAACTTAGTCTCGGTTTTTTAGTCATCATTTTCAGCTCAGATATACAATTTCTTTGGTTTTTTGTGAGCTTACCAGAGCTACAACTTTGTAGTTGGACACATTTTCAAAATCACACGTTTTCTTAGTCAAAAACATCTTGTAAGTCAGATACGATGCTGAAAAATGAATCTTGAAGATTTACTTTCAAGCTTACCCTAAGGCTTCACCCTCTCCTAAAAAGACTCCCCTAAGCCTTAGATCCCAAAACACTTTTTTGGAAGAGGAATTATCCCTCCAAATTAGCTAGATTCCTCTCGTTTCTCTTGTAGTTCATTGTTTTACTTTTTCTTGTATTGTTAAGTTTTCTTCTTCATTTAGAGGGATGAACTTCTCTCACATTTTTAACTCTCTTGTAGCCATAAAGGGTGAGTATTATTTCATTCATTCATTGTTGAAGAGAAAAACTCATTTGTAGTTGTAATCTTTATTTTTGTTCTAAACATACTTTTGCTTTGACATAGAAATGAAGTGTGAGTAGTATTATTTTACTATTTAGTAGAGTATGAAGGGTGTGTGTGAGTACGTATCTATTGATTCATTTATGCAAATATCCATTTATGCTTTAATGTTTTATCTTTCTTTTCACTTGGTTGATTGAATGACTTTACAAACCTTCTTATTTCACTCTTTATTTGGAAAGTTATGGCCATAGAGATCAATGATATGACTTATTAGAAAATAGAAAAATATATAAAGAAAACAAATTTAATAACAACCAAGCTTCAACTAAACTTGAGCATTCAGATGAGGGTAGATGAATAGTGATAAAACAAAAAAAATCATTGAAAATTTTGTAGTTATTGTTGTCAATGATAGGTGCAATTTTTTTGGGAAAAATTTGTTAATATAAACAACTATAATAATTACTCGGAAAAAATAGTTTTTGAAAGGAAAAGACTATTTTTTGAAAGGGAAAACACTAGAAATTATTTTTATGTTATTAAAATTAAACATTTTAAAGTATTTCAATTTTAGTTTAATTAAACTCTTCCCGTTTCCATTTTCATTATGAAAACCATCATGTTTTAAATCATATATTATAAACTAGTAAAGTAGCCTGAGGGTTTATTTATAATGAACTATTAGAATTTTGAACTAGGTAATTTTATAAAGCAAATACATTATCACAGACTTACAAATGAGAGCATTAATTTGACAAATGAACACTTATGTCCTAATTTCTTTTCAAACTTTTTCCAATATGTTAGTTGTAGTCTTTGACCATATATTTTTTAACAATATAATTGTGATTGTTTTATTTTCTGAACTCTAGAAGATATAGATTAACAATCTTATCTGGACATAAAAATTTTCAAACATATATTTTGTGTATTCTACATGGTAATTATCATAGAGGCCAAACGCTCTTGTCCATTTAGACGATTGTATCGATGTATCTTGTGTTTCCAAATTATGAGTAAGAATAGGTAACCTTCCTTGTCATAGCAATTATGGTTGCTAAGTTTAATTTTTGAAAATTTCTTGTACAATTTCACATTTTTTGAATTGTTTAATCATTGGCCCTCTCATATCTATATGAGGAGTAATGTTTGGACTGTTTTAATATTTGATTACCCTATATTGTATATTGTGTCCTCTTAAATATACTTTATTTTTTTTAAATATTCTACGTACAACGTGTGCACCAACTAGTACTTCTAAATACTAGTAATGCTCTATGTGAGTTGCACGTGAATAGTTTTTAGGGGCTTAGGGAGGCCGGTACTTCCCAAAAAATTTAATAGGATAAAAATACACTTTTAAAAATAATTGGGATAGAAATACATATGCTAAAAAAAAGTCATAAAAGCCCTTTTACCTCTATCATAAATAGTGTATACCTAATTGAATGTAAGACTTTCAGGATTAGAATGTGAGACTTTCAAGATTCCTTTGATATTTGTGTATCATTTGAATTTTGAAATTATATATATATATATACACACACACACACACGTAATACAATGACATCAAACAGTGGCACGCTCAACAAAAAAAATAGTAACATCAAACAGAAACATACTCAACAAAAAAAGAGTAACATCAAACAGTAACACACTCAACAAAAAGATAGTAACATCAAACAGTTACATAAATATTTTTGTTGAACGTGTCACTGTTTGATGTCACTGTATTATGTGTGTGTGTGTATATATGTGTGTGTGTGTGTACATATATATGTGTGTGTGTGTATATATATATATATGAAATTTCAAAATTTAAATGATACACAAATATCAAAAGGAATCTTAAAAGTCTCACATTCATGTATATATGCACTATTTATGGTAGGAGCAATTATGAAATACATTTTAGAAAGAATTTGAAAATGTTTTAAAATGTGTACTTATTAACAACTATTTAATGATAAAGATGATTTAAAGGAAAATAAGTTTGGAGGTGGTACTTAAAGTCAAATAAGTTTTGAAAAAGGTACTCACATCCCATTATCTCTAATTTTTATATACAAAAATTAATAAATCATATTAGGTATATATGTATCTGAATTAAATATCACCTCAAATTTACAAAACTCAATGTTTCATTGCTTATATTATATTTTAAGATTATAAAAACTTTCAATATCCCTAAAATTCTTTGTTCTAACTAAAAGAAAATAGATTTTTTAAAAAAAGTTAAAATTCTATTTTTTTTTCAGAATTTTGTAATTGAGATTGATTTTTTAGTAATATTTGAGAAATTAAATTTTTTGAAATTCATTTTATTAGGATTCAACTTATAATTCTTTAAATAAAATAAAAGTAATTGTTAATATACTAATCATATTTGAACCTTACTATAATTAAGAATTGGATAGGTGAATTGAGATAAGATTTAATATACTGCTATAAAAAATCTAAAAATTTCAAGTTCTACTTAAAATTTCTAAAAAAAAAAATTCAAATTCTACAATATTAAAATTCTAAAAAATACAAATTTTACTTAAAAATGTACTACAATATCTATTTTCACATAAAATCTTTATACAACTTAGAAAGTTTAATTTGACTGAATAATTATATTGATGTAACGTAAATTGATTTTAAAAAACTATATATATAATTATTTTTAATCTTAGAAATGAAAGGTTTAAACTTTTTAATGAAAAAGAAAATACACATGCATAGGTATAATGTTATTTTTACATATGAGATGAATATTATTAGATTGATGGAATTTTTTAAGATTGTTTGAAACTTTATTGAAAATATAATAATGCATATTTTTTGAAGGGTAATATAGTCAATCAATTTTTTTTTATAGAAACTGATATTTATACATAGAGAATAGATAATTAAAAAAGATGTTAGAGATAATTTAGGAATTTAAATACATAAGGAGATGATGATAATTTAGATTTTTAATTGTCAAAAGATAGAGTAGTTTTTACAATTTTTTATCAGGGTAAAATAAAGATTTAAAATTTTTTCGTGTTAAAATACTTTGATTAGATATAGAATAGTAGAAGCTTCAAATAACACCATGAGATGCAATAACAAATCTACATTTTAAAAATAACATATTTACAACCATATATAATTACTAAACATCAACTAGATATCATGTTAAAACTCAAAATTCCCAAACCCTTCTAGGGTTGATATATATATATTTTTTAGCTTCATTACATCTCTCTAGTTTGAAATGTTTTTTGACTTTTATTTTAGATTTTCATCCTCATTTTCTTTCTTCTTTTTCTAGAAGTGTGAAAATATTTAATCAAAAACTTAAAGCTTAAAAATAGAGTAAGAAGAAATATTATAAAAAAACTAATAGATATCTGTTTAGAGTATCTCCAACAGGCTAGGTAAACTCGTCCCTTTAGCTATTTTAGATAGTTTTTCCTTAAATTAGGGCTCCAACAGACTAACTATTTGACAATCTAATTCTCATAGCCCCTTTTTCACTCGATACATCTAGCTAGCGCACAACTCCCTCGTTGGCGCCAGACTCTCACCTCTTTCTGCCACCCTCGCCTCTCCCTGCCTCTCCATCGATTGATGAAGTCGAAGCCTTCACAGACAGTGAAGCCACAAGCACCCTGACAATCCCTTTGTCGCCTCCTCTTTCTCTCAAACAGTGAAAGACACAAGCCACAAAACCTAAATCCCTAATCAATCGATCAAACTCGAAGCCCCATTAAAAAACCCCTATGAAAACCTCACTGTAACTGCACCAATAATCACACCAAAAACCTATCGAGGTTCATCATCTTCTTCATCAAAGGTGGGGTCATCATCTCCACAGCTCCATTGTCTTCGTCACTCCAAAATTGTCTTCATTCCACAGAGGTTGGTTCTATTTTTGTGGCTCCTGAGGTGGTGGCAGTTGGTGTTTGGGGATCATTTGGGTTTGAAACATGATTTTTGTGGCTCTCGCTCTTTCTCTGTTTGATTTCTCAGTTTGAAGCATAATCTAGGTTCGTATGAATTTGGGGATTTTACCATCTGTATTTTTATTGGTGGGCTTTGTATGAGAAGATCAAGAAGGTAGTAAAAAAATCCAATAAATTCTCCTAAAAATTGAGTAAATTCCCAAAAAATTCAACAAACCCCCAAAATTAGTAAAAACAATCGAAAAAAACTAATAAAATTTCCAAAAAATTCAATGTATAATTGAATTGCTATTTTTTAAATTTTATTATTAAAAGTTAGTTAAAATATTTAGTTAAAATAGATAAAGTCGATGAAGTGAATTTAAAAAGTGATTAACTAAAATAAATAATATAATATTTAAAAATATTTTGATTAATTATTTTAAATTACGTGGTTGGAGAAGCTCTCGCACACGCGCTGCTTGTTAGACAAGGGAACACTCTTCGGGCACAGCCAAACAGAAATGCAGCAAACACCACCACATGCGGCGGCAACGCCGGAGTCGAAAGAATCATCGACCGAAGCACCCCCCAAACAGGTGGCGCAGGCGATGGACCGACTGGCCCACGCTGGCCGACTCATCGCCGATATCAGACTTGGCGCTGATCGCCTTCTCGAAGCTCTCTTTGTCTCCGCACAGCCTCACCAGTCTTCCAAACCCTTGCAGTTGATAGTTAAAGAAGAAGCCTCTATGCGTCAGTGCCTCCAAGACCTCCGTACCGTCGGTAAACATTTTTATTTTGATTTTTTGCTTAATTTTCTCGGCTTAAGGATTTAATGTATATTTAATTTTGCATTTAATTTTTATAATTTTGTGATCTTACATGCTGTTTGATATTGTGAGACAATCAGTGTAACGCGTTTCTGCAATATACTGATGCGACAAGCATGTCAATGCTGATTTGTTGGTTTAGGGTTTTAAGTATAATCTGACTTGACCTGCGTTTTATAAACTATTTTTACTAATCGGTTCAGTATCATTTGCCTTCTCTACTTCTATTTCTATAAGTGTTGTGCTAAAGGCTGTTAGGTTGTGGGTTTGAATACGAGAGCCATCTCATTGTGGATATTATGCCAAATGATTGGTCTTTACTCAGCTTGCCCCTTTTAATACACTCGGTTAATGGAAACAGACACAGTAATGACCTTTTACTTTTACTTACCAAATTGACAGCTCTATACTAATTCTTAAAGGGAATGTGGTTGGCTGATAGCATCATTTTGATATTTGAGGTGTTGAGCTTTAGTTTGTATATTGGTTGGACTCACAACACTTTCAAAGGCTTTGTTTCATTGGATTAATGTCTATTATCGGTTGCAGTTCTTGAAATTTCTGTGTTTTTTTTTTTTTTTTGGTTTTCTTGGAAAGAGATTCTTTTCCGATGTTTTAATGAAATGTTATGTTTATGTTTCAGTGCTTTTGATGCAAATATTGGTTGATCATAGATGTTTTCCAAAAAGGGAGCACACCCATTTGCTAGGTTGTTTTCTTATAGTCATTAACTGAACTTGTATTAAGTATGTCCCACACCAATAGAAGCTTGCATGTGGGGCCAGGCTTTACATGGAATCAATAAGCGTAGGTGTCACAAAATCATAATAGTAAACTCCACTTCTACATTCACTCCAAGGAAGGTGTTGTGCTCGGTAAACTCGTGTCCACTAGTCACCTGTATAGCCATTTGATCTCTTTACTCTTAAGAACTGCTCATCTCTTACATCGTAGAGGTGCTCTAGCCAATAAGTGGCATCCGTTCACAAGAGCTGATCAGGGAGCAAAGCGAATAATGAAACCAATTTCTAGACTTATACCTGATCTGAAAAGAAATTTTTTTAGGGTGACCTTGGATTTGTTTGGGTACAAATAGACTGTCTAGGAGTGTAAGCTTCAATTTGACACTCATAATGTATCAACATTGTATTTGAATTTATTGATTAGGAAACAATTTTCTTTTTTTCAAATAAAATGATAGTGGCAGAACTAGAATTTTTGCCAGAGAGAAAGGATATCGTTGGTTAAATTAAGGGAAAAAGTTATAGTTGTTACCATAACAGCGGATTGGTACAACACCAAATGATTCCCATTATTGTCATAATAAATGAGATATCGTAAGTTAAATCAAGGGAATAAGATACTGCTGTTACCATAATAGAGGATAGGTATAACGTCAACTGATTTCCACCTTCTCACTTGAATCAATGGACAAGGCATCCTTGATGGATCGCCTGAACCAAGCCTCCGATCTTGTTGATACCATCAGGGTTGGCCCCAACCGCCTTGCTAGGGCCCTCTCCTTTGCTTCACAGACTCACCAGTCCAATGAATCCGTGCGTTTGATTACCAACGAAGCAGCATCCATGCAACATTACCTCCAAAAACTCCGAACTATTGGTGGGTATTACTTTTCCTTCTTGTTAGTTTTCAAATTTAACCTTGTGTTTCAAAATGTACAGGTTATTTAGCAAAGCTTGTTATTTTTTGAAAGAGAAAGAATAAAAGTAGATTCAACCGTTGCGAGACTTAATTTTCAAGTTTGAATGTGTGAAGCTAATTTATGATCATCTGATGTGTTATTCGTGTGTGTTTTGGTTCAGGAACACTTGGGGTTCATAAAATTATTTAGCTTTGGTTCCTAGAAAAGAGGGATGCTTTCTGGTGGTTCTGTGCAATGTATGAGAGTTGATGTGTATTATTCCACTTTTCGATTGGTGATAACATGCAATTAGAATATATATTTCTTTCAAAGGAAACCTATATTGGAGAGAGGACTAAATTTTGGTGTCACATTGGTAAGAGTATGATAGTTTTGAATTAGGAAAAGCAGTTACAGCTGTAACAATTATGGATGTTTAGAGGAATATGTAATTCTTCAATCATTGTTTTGTGGAAGTAGGAATATGTGAACATATTGAGTAATATTTTCAGAAGATTTGGCTGAGATGATTTCAATGGGTTATAGAGGGATAACAATTATTTAGTTGGAAAGATAGTAATTGTTAGATATGGTCCATGTCTATGTTCTTGAGAAAGGAATAACTTTGAGAGGTGCTTCTGAAATTCCAATGGGCTATGATTTACTGTGGCAGACATGTGCATTACAAGGCGATTAAATTTTAAATGATCTTAGGAGTCTAGCAAATTGGATCAAGGTAGGTGATGGAGATTAGAAAGATGTTGGATGAAGCTTGGCATTGAGAATTAGGATTTACTGAAATTAATTTCATAGTTGTGTCATTTGGGATAATTTATTTTTGTACGAAAAATTGAGTACATATATTGTGCTGGGCTTTGAAAAGAAAACAAGTATGATTGAGTTTGATTACTTTTGAAACAAATTGCCAGGGACAATGGCAGTGGATGGATATAAATAGTGGACATTGAGCGCCTCCCTTTTTACACTCATTATGGATAAATTTATCTGGCATATGGTGTATGCTAAAATTTTCAAAATGCTAGTGACTAACAAAACAATGAAAAGGTAAATACTGTAATAGAATTACAGGAAGGATGCTTTGGAACCAAAAATGATTAGAATAAGCATGACTAATAGTGAATTTGTGGTAAACAGCTCAGAGAGAATTTAATGGTGCAGATCAGGTGAAGAAAGGGCATTAGATAGTAAATAATTAAACATAATATTTGATGATGGAATAAAAAGCTAAATGAGTTCAGGAGTTCAATAGACTTAAGGGTGTGTCTCTTAGTTACAATTAGGAGGTCATAAGTCTTGGAAATTAGTCTAACATACAACTTGTCAAACTGACATGTATGTTTTCATTTCCACTATAACCTTGTATTGTCTTAACGACGGAGGACATGCTACGCCAGGCTTAAATTCTCACATGGCTATCATATAATTGCTTAACTTTGATGGTCCCATGATTACCAGAATACCAGGTGATGTGAAATGATTGAATGTCCTAATGACAATATATACTTGTGGCCTACAAAAGAAGAATCCAGAAGAACAAGAAGAGGATTGATTTGGCTGGCATTGAATTCTATGGATAGGCTTTGTTGCCTTGAGGTTATAGGTTAAGATGTGCAGGAAATGCTGTGGTTTAATGCTGGTATAAGTCTAGGAATTCTCTCCTATTCCAATCCCATTTCTTTGACCATGTTCACCTCATTCATCAGCTTTCCTGCTGTTCCAGATGCTGTTGCTCTTGCTTGAGCCGGGAAGTAGAGAAGGCACGTAGTGAGAAGATTTTAGATTAGAGATATGACAGAACAAAGTGGATTTATCATGGGCCTTGGAATATATTATTTGTATGATATACATTTCTTCATAAGAAGTAATAACCACTTAGAATACCTGCAGGTCGAGGGAGAATTGATTTGATTTGTTTTCCAGTTAGGAAGCATAAAAGGAAAGCATTGCCTTTCTTTGTGATCCTTACCTCCTTGCCATAATCCGATCTTCCCCTAAAAGCAGTTCGCACTGGGTAATAGGACTTTAAGAAGGATTCTTTGCCATCAACTGGACTTTTCACAGGGACCAGAGACACGGGCAGGACCCATAGGGAACAGAACTACTCTTTTGGTGTATGATTTGAGTAGGTAAGCGCAGTGGAACCAGCAGCATGAACAATGGACAAAGCAAGCTATTGCGTCAATTAGAAAAGCTGCAAGCTACGGGCAGGATTTTTTTGTTGGCTCAAGGGTTAGGGAGTACGTCACCTTCCCCTCTCTCTAGGGGCTTTGTCGTATCTTTCCTTTCCTTTTACTGTAGCTATTGGCATAGGCACAATAGAAGCAAAGAGGGAGAGAAGCAACCTACACCATCTAGGATAGAATTGCTTGCCTCTAAATAGCAATGAATGAAAACTTTCTTTGCCTCTGGTTAAACTGCTTATACGTAAGGCATCACAAGCTCCTTGCTTTCCTCCTGACATCAAAAGCAGCGAGGCCATGAAATAGGTATTTAATAGGAATTTTCAGAGACTTAGGCGTAGGACTCTTCACAGAGACCAAGTCCAGAACCTCCAACAGCTGACAACTCGAAAGACTCATTGGTTCCTTTTTTTTTTTTCTGTTGCCTTCAAGTTCTAGGCCTGTTTTTCTGCTGTGCTCCTATCTCTTCTTTTTCATTCTCAAGGATACGCGGTTGACCAACCGAAAGCTACTAGGCTAAGAGATGAGAGAAGGGTGTGGAAAGGAATGATAGGGAGAGAAAGACGACTATCTAAACTGGTAGATCCTTGTACTGTGAGTGGTAGTGACTTGACCAATTGCTAAGGGAGTTGGGCAGGTCTGGAGGTATTACCTCCTAATGAATACGATAATAAGACTGCAAATAGTGATATTACAATTTCAACATACTAATGGTTAATATGCCTATGGTATCTCAATTCAAGCGGAGAATCTGTAAGTAAATCAAAAGATGGGCTGTAGCTATAGATATATATTTTGCATGACTAATTCTTGAATCCTGTTGGTTTTTGCCCTTTATGGTTTAGTACTGGTGGTTTTGCAGATGCTATTAACTGAAAGTAACTGAAATGCTTTATTTCAGAATCTCATAACCCAAAAGATTGATCTTCCAAGTTTTATTTGTTAAGGTGCATAATTCTAAATCTATTTACTATTGTTAGGAAAGGAGTTGGAAGATTCTGGTGTTCTTAATGAGTCTCTTCGGTCAAGAAGTAATTCTTGGGGCCTCCACATGCCTTTGGTTTGTCCGGATGGTGCTGTTGTTGCATATGCATGGAAACGCCAGCTTGCTGGGCAAGCTGGTGCATCTGCCGTTGACAGGACCAGGTGTGTTCCAAAACTTTAACACAGTGATGTCTTATTAGATTCTGGTCTTTTGTTGCCCCTATATTTGTCCTGCCACCCCTTTTTTTGTGCTTGATTGACTCCGTTTTACTTGAAGCTTTTGAGAGAATTTAGTCATGGATTAGGTTCAATTTGAATTGATTATGTTTTACATGTCAAAATATGGTCAGCAGATTCATTTTTCTCAGAGGGGTTGTTTCCGAAACCATGGAAGTTCATTTCTGAGCGATGATTACCTTACTTTTCTTACAGAGTTAAATTCGTTCTGGGTAATGGGAGAGTGTGCATTTTTGGGAGAACTTTTGGATTGTGGAGTCATCCTTTGCATGCTTATATCCTCGGCTTTATAGCCTTTCTTGTTATTATCATGTTCATATTGATTCAATGATTATGTCTTATTCTCACTCGGTGTGATGGGTTTTTGGGTTTTATGGGAGAGTTCATAATCATACTATGGAGACTTTGGAGTTGGTCTCACTTCTCTCTTTGCTTTGTAACGCAACTTTACATCATGGACAAAGAAGACTCATCACACTTGTTCTCTTGCAAATCCTATAATGATTCCTTGATTGATGATACTTCTTGCCCATTTTTTTTATCCATCTTTGAATATCTATAAGGCTAAAGTGCTGCTCATGGAAAGATCAATACTAATAATTTGCTTTAAAAACAAAAGCCCTCACACAGGCGTATACCCACACTTGTGTGTAATGTGCAAGAATGATTGCGACAATTCGAACCATTTATTTTTGAATTTCCTGATTGCGTTTTCTTTATGAAAAAAATTGTTCGAGATGACAAGGCATTCGAACCATTTGCTCGTTTTTTTGCAGGTGTTATTATTCTTATTGGGCTCGTTTGGTTATCGTATTAAAAATAGATGAATTGGATAAAATAATACAGTCTAATACAATACAGATGGATAAAAGACAAGATTAAATATGACATTAATACGTAATTTTATCTAAGTATTTGACAATATACAATATAAGCATCGGATAGTAGTTATTTAATCCAATCGATTGTTTGGTTAGAGAATTATTTCATTGTATTAATGTTGAATTTACAAAAATACCTTCGACCAGTATTTGTTACATTGATGATAACTTGATTTTATTATTTGGGGGGTTATAATAGTAAATGTGTAGAATAATACGTTTGATTATAATACCACATCTATTAGTAGTATTAAAAGACCTCCATAATACAGGTCTATCGTATAAAAAATATATGATTAGTATACAATTAATATACGTTTTTAAAATTAATACGATATTAAATTTGCTTACCAAACAAAGTATTAGGCCTGATTAAATAAAGAATAGTACAATCCAATATTTAATTCCCTCATAATATATCTACCAAACGAGCCCATTGTTTATGTCGATGACATTATCATTACTGGTGATGACTCAAATGGTATTGCCCACTTTAAGATTCATTTAGGGAAGCAGTTCCATATCAAATACTTAGGTCTCCTTTGATATTTTCTTGGGATTGAAGTTGTTCGGTCAAAGGAATGTATGAGTTTGTGCCAACGAAAGTATGTAGTGGATTTATTGTCTGAAACTCTCGTAGACTCTACGGTTTAGTCGAATGCTGATAGTGGTCAAGTGTTTGATGATGTAGGGTGTTATTAAAGTTGGTTGGTAAGCTAATTTACCTCATAGTTTTACGTTTTGATATTACCTATGTTGTTAGTATGGTTGGTTAGTTCATACATGATTCTCGTAAACTTCATTGAGAGACTATTTGTTGTATTCTTCGGTATCTGAAAGGAGCATCAGCTAAAGGATTATTATATCGGCCTTCACTGACTGGGCAGGTAGTTGTACTGATGGATGATTTATTTCAGGTTGTTGTACATTTATTGGTAGTAATCTTGTTACTTGGTGCAACAAGAAATACAATGTGGTTGCTCATTCGAGTGTAGACGCTGAATATCGGGTCATGACTAATACTGCTTATGAAATTTTGTGGGTTTGTTCACTACTTCGTGATATAGGTATCAATGTGCCCTCTTTTATGGATATGCATTGTGACAATCAATCAACTATTTTCATTGCTAGTAATCCGGTATTCCATGAGAAGATTAAACATATTAAAGTGGATTGTCATTTTATTTGAGATCTATTGATGCGTAGGAAGATTATCACACCATACATCAAGTTTAGTGATCAGCTGGGTGACATTCTTACCACACTGTTGTCTCGTTCTCTCTTCAACAATCTTTGTTCCAAGATGGGCATCTTTGATTTGTATGCTCCAGCTTGACGGGGGAGTGTTATAGTTCTTATTTAGATTATTAGTAGTGTAGGGTAATAATGTAATTGTTCATAATGTTAGTTTATAAATAAGTGAGTGTAAGACAACATGAGCCATGCAACAGATTATTCTCTTTCTTTCTTCTTGCCTCTTCTCTTTTATCTCCTCTCTCAAGCCCTAATACCTTTTTTATAATCTTAACTAATTTAACAATGTTTTAATCTACATCCCTCTGGCATATATATCACAAATCTAGATTGGAAATGTAGTATACTAATTTGGTGGAGTGAGGATACAAACTGAAAAGGATGAAAGAAATACTGTTAATTGTTAATTTAAATGTTGTAGTAGTCCCTAACTATTTTGATGACTCATAATGGATTGCACTAGCTAATGCAGGACTATTTTGTCAAATATGGGTGATGTTTTAAATGTCATGGTAGCTTCACGGTATCATTTCTTGATGGTGGTACCTGAGGTCATTAACTGACAGCTAAAGCCATGGTGTTAACCACTTAAAGATATCACCAAAGTTGTAAAAACGTGTATTGTAGTTCATATCATTTTTTTAAATTAGTGTATCGGACAGTATAGTATATCGTAAGATATACATGTGTTTTTTTTTTTGTGTGTGTGTATGTATACATATATAATTCCAAAACAATATGGATATTTCAACCTAAAGTTCCATACAAGATTGAAAAGGACTCTTAAGTTTTAAATCAAAATTTAGCAATTCAAAATTTTAACATAATTCATTAATGTCAAAATATTAAGATTAGCAAAGTCCACAATTATCCATTCTTATAGTCCAAGGAACATAGTTGTCAAATCGTATATCGAAAGGCGTCTTATTTTTAGAAAATAGTATATCGTATAGTGCCGTGTATCGTAAGATACATGCAATTTTAATTTTTAAATAATTACATATATATATATATATATATATATATATATATAATTATAACAATAGACTATTAATATTCCACCATAATCCACAATAATCCATTCTTATAGTCCGGGAAATATAGTTGTCAAATCGTGTATCGGAAGACGTATTATTTTTAAAAAATATTGTATCGTATTGTGTCGTGTCGTATATCGTAAGATACGCATAATTTTAATATTTAAATAATTATATATATATATATTTATATATATATATATATATATATATAATTATAGCATTTTATTAATATTCTACAAACTATTTAAGTTCCCAACATAGTTTAGTAATATCAAAATGACATCTAATTCAAACTTTTAACATCAACTGTTTGAATAACCTTAATATTAATCAGAAATTTTAAATTCAATTGAATAACTTTAACAATAGACTTTATTTTTTTTTTTTAAACCATGACCATTGAAACGAGTTGATTCACTGAAACGAGTTGATTCACTGGCTAGTGATTTAAAAATAAGTTTTAGGGTAAAACAATGTCATTTCAGTCCCGAATAACAAAAAAAAAAAAAAAAAACGGAATCGTCATGGACGTATCGTATCGTACAATATGGTGCAAAAAACGATACAGAGACATGATACGTATCATTTTTTAGGTGTATTGTGATACGATACTAATAACTATGCCAAGGAATCACATTTGCCTCTTATCTTTTGGTCCAACTTCCAACAATATTAATATCTTAATGACTAGATGCCAACAAGTATTAACCTTTTATCTTTTTCAACCGTTTGTATATGTTCATCCTCTTAATTATTTATTGAACTACTTGCTTTCCTTTATTTTTCTTATTTGACAAGATATTTCTAGGCCGCACTGAGTCAACAAATTAAAAAATATATAAAATTATATAAGGCATTTATCTTTCTTTTTCTTTTTTGTTCCTTTCTTCTTTTTTAATCTAGACAAGGCATATGGTAATGAATCGTGTATCGAACAATATCATACTATATGTGTTGTGTATCGTAAGATGTAAAATAATATGCTTGTACAAAATGTATGTGACGCCCCTAAAACTAAGGGTCCCGTTGATAACCCGTCAATCTGCGGAAATGCCCGTGAATGCTGTTTGATCCGACATCACGCTAATATTATTCCATTACCTGGAATTTTAACTCACACGTATTATCCGTGTTTCTTTAATCATTTAATTTTAACCATAGCTTAAAATACCACAATTCATGCCTCTTTATTGTCCAATTACATCTTTGGAACCAAAGAAATCAAAGACCGAGAGCACAACACTTTAGTTTTAAAATTTCAAATTTTTGGAGAAAGTACCGGTATTGTGTGTTCACTGGTCCTGACAGTACCGGTACCGTCTGCCTTCCAAATTTTTTTCAAAGTTTTGAAAAAGAGTACAAGTACAGTGTACAGGTACTGTCTGCTTGCTGGACCAGACTATACTGGTACACTCTGCCCAGTTTAGCCTATTTTCACTGTTTTTCCATTTCAAAATCATTTCAAATAATCCCAACACCATCCAAAACATGTCTAATGATGTTTATCACATAAAACTAGATATCTACAAGTTCTATTACAATCCATTCACACGATTTCATACTCAACACCGTAATTTTGTAAGATTTATACAAAATGTATTACAAAAGCCACAAGTCGGCTTTTCTTCATCTTTGAGGCCCCGAATGAGAGTCCTTCGTCGGTATAAACCCCGTACCTGAAATATGTTCCCGTATAGGGTGAGCCAACGTCCAGTAGAATATTTCCTATAGAGGCTACTCTCTATCTAAATGCATATGCAATGTTTACA